TTGGCGTGCAGGACTGTTGACCGTGAAAAAGGACGGTCCACATCGTTCCACTGCGGGGCAGGGAAGAAGAAGCAGAGAACAAAATCAGCAGGAAACTATGTGAGGTTAAGGGTGGACTTGGAGTGATAAGGGAGATTTCACCCTGGTATGTAACTCTGGCACACGGGTGACATAACTGTTCTAAAAGTTATCCCTGGGCTTATAGCTCTGCACAAGTTAATACCATTCTCCACGAGACTTTACAAGTTGCTGAGCAGGATTTGAGTGTGATGAAGTTAATCACAGTGCAGTGGGGAGGGGGGAAGAGTCATTAAAAAAATGAGAGCTTCCTCTTTTAGCATGGGCTTATTTCATTTATGCAGTGGCACTCGTCCCGTGGGACTCTATCGTGATCTCGGCTGGCTTTGGCAGATGCAAAGACAAATTGACCTTCACGCCGGATCGACTGGAGTGGGTGTTTCTTTTCTAGTGGATCAGAGTGGGTATGCAGAATGTGTTAGCCAGGTGGCCCTGCTTGGCTAATAAGCACAGTCAGAGAGCTGAAGGGTATTTTAGGTTAGTCACGACCAGGTTCTTTGGCCACTTACAAAATAAATTTTATGGTGTGTTTGGTCACCGGTGGTTTGAAATTGACCCACAAGGCAACACATAAAATGATTTTATAAAAAATAAAAAAAATCAAATATCTAACACTCCAAACCTTTGATTTAAGATCATCTGGTTTGTGTGTATGTATCGCTGAACCTCTCTAAATCCTCAGCCGAACGCAGCCTCCATGGGTGAATCAGGAGATGAGCATTTCTTACTGTTTCCTCTCTAATGCTCAGTGACAGTGTCACAGCAGGTGGAGCTCTTCACAGAACTAATCAGTCAGATCTGTTAACAGAGGAGGTGCGATGTGAGATGACGAACTGAAACAGAACCGCCAACATGCCAACAACTGCCTTTAATGTGCACCCGCGGCCCAGACAGACAACTCAGACACCTCTTCCTTGTCCTCATCCTGTCATCCCCTCTGTCACTCTTCAGCCTCACCCATTCATGTTCTGCCAGGCCCCCTCTGCACCGTTCAGCTCCCACGCTCCTCTTGGCAGGTTGCAAAAATCAATCTATGTAAACTGTCAGCACACATCTGATATAAAAATACTTAAATCCGCCTACTGTGATAGTGAGCCCCGATGTGTAATGCCCAACCTTTTGAACCTCTCACCCCACTTGAAATGGTAAGACTTTATCAAATCTACTGTAATATTATGGTTTTGGACCCATGTGGGCTGAGGTATGGTTCGTTGGGTTTCTTAGCTCTAATTTTTAAGCTGTCCTACTTCCCTTCACGCCTCAGGGCTTTAGGGGAAATCTGAGCCAGCAATGTACTTCTTAAACGTTCCCTCCTAACTTTACTTACAGACAGCATCAGTCTAGCTCGGTGCCTTTTTACAAAGGTTAGAGTATTATGGTGTTGGATTTGTTTTGTTTAAAAAACAAATTACACATAACTCCATTTGATTTCCTATAAAAATATTTAATAGCGTATACATGATGTAATTCGGCTGTAGGTTTGCAGGTATACACGGATTATTTCAACTCAAAAGAGTGAATGAGCAGTATGTGTAAATAAATGTACGACTGCAAAGACATACTGAGCATTCATGAAAGCAGATGTTTTGTGCACCAAAAAGCAACATTTATAACATTTATAAACTTTAGCAAAAACATCAAGAAGAATTTAGAAACTTTTGGCCCAATGTGGCATATTTTTGCAATCTAATGATAAATGACTTGAACTTAAACATGACAGAACCAGTAAATTTTACTGAAGAGCGAATGCATCATGAGCACATTGTTCATATCTTTTGCTGAACTTTCTTTTTTTTTATATATATTTTATTTTTTAATAAACAACCTATAAGAACACAAATAATCAAAAATAAACGGGTGTACCATCTAGTGTGTATATACACATACACACCCATATACTTAGACATACATACACTGCTGAACTTTCTTGAAAATACTGCCCTTTAAAAATTTAAAGGGATCTTAGGGGAAATTAAAAAAAGACATAATTTAAAATTTAATACCAGCTTCATTTTTGCCTTTTGTAGTTGAGTAATATAAGTAGAGGCTTACTGAGATCAGAAGTCTTGCTCACCTCCAGGATAGCTCCTGCAACATTATGTTTCAGATGTCAGTGGATTTCATCATCCAGACTCTTAGAATTTACAATCACGGCTTTCCGAAGTTTGGAGTACACGGATAATAGCTCTGATTCTATTGTCTTGTCGTTGGATCTCTAAGTTGATGAACATATGCTGAAACATCGCAGTAAACATTTTAAAGCCGTTTAAACAAAACCTTGTCTCGTCTTTATTGCTTGTGTGAAAAAAAGAACACTAGCCGACTGGAGTAAATATAGTGGTGTTTAAGTAAGACTTGTTGCAGTTCTCTGATCCAAGTATAGACGTAAAGCAGCATTAAACAGCATTTTTAATACCGTGTCTGCTACCTACTTCAAAACTAATATTACCTTTAATCTCTGCTACTGAACGTGCATCTAAAGTTGTCTTCAGTGTCATCAGACAGATCAAAAACTGCTCATTAGCCTTTGAACTCTTATAAAGCATCACAGCCATTTTTCATAGGTGACATTAATTCATTTTAGTGCCACCTTAACAAAAAGCGCCACACAACAAAGACCTCTGAAATATGTCAGGCTGTGATTTTGGATCTTCTTATTCAAGACAATCATCCTCAGCTTGTGGATGCAGTATTTGGAACTTTTCAGTAAAAAATTATTCCTCCTTGCTGCTGTTTCATTCATCTGTCAAACCTCCTCAGTCTCATTTGCCTGATTTGCTCAGCTCTGGCATCTTCGGAGAGGTGGAAACCATAAGGAGGGGGGGCTCCTCTCTGCTGGCTTTGACCTAAAAAAAAAAAAGAAAAGAAAAGAAAAGAAAGATAAACCAGTGACATCAGATAGATATAAAAAATAAATCACTCTAACCCTTTTCCACTTATCAAAACTGTCCCCTCCTGTCTTACCTCTGTCATTCAGGCTGTTCCTGATGGCTTCCTCTAACTGCTCCTCCTCTGTCAGTCCACCTGTATAAGATGCATCTGCTGTGTAACCTGGTGCATACTGATAGTTTCCTGAGAATCCTCTACCAGTGTCAGTGTAGCCTGAGACACACATACACACAAGGTTAAGTCTGGCATATTGTATACTCTCGTTATTGTCTGTAAATCCCGTGAAGACAGCAAAGCCTACAATATATTAGTCAGTATACAGTCATTTTCTGCCATCATACCCGAGTAGCCCGAAGATCTGTAGTAGGCACCGGGCTGTGAGTTATATCCATTCGATGTCACAAACCCTGGTGAAAATATATGCAGATTATTTCAGTTTTCCTCTCAATAATCAGATTCTATATAAATATCAGGTACTTGTAGGAAAGGTATTGTAAGAAAGCTTGATCTAGTCCATTTGTAGTTTGCTTTAGGTTGAACCTATTGACCAACCTCTCTGTTTAGAGCAACCGAAGGATGACACTGGCTATCACCTGATGACAATTTAGCTTTTAATTCGCCTCACAAAGTTTAGCTGCATTTATGAAAGTCTTGCTCTCATTTGAGGGAGCTACACCGGAGCTCCCCCCGGGGGCTTGTCAGCAGAGCAACCGAAGGGCTCCCACATTGTTTCAGTTTAAACAGTGTTACTGACAAATATTTATATTTGTACATAGATTAACTCTCAAAGCTGACTCTAGTGTTCTATCACATATTTTCTATCACACTTGAATCTTTAGACTTTGGTCCACTGTGTTTTTGCCATCTTACTGCGTTAATATAAATGTAAGAAAACAGGTGAGAAAACAAAACAAAACATGAATTCAGACCTGCACACTTCTTCATGATTTTCTTCAGTGGTCCGGTGGTGTAGAGGAGACCTACCAGGATCCCTGACAGGTGACCAACAAAAGAGGTCCTGAAGAAGAGAAGCATAGATTATTGCTATTTAATCAAACACTGCCACCTACAGGACATTTTAATTCAACACCTCAAACGACAGGTTCCTCAAATAAAACACTACTAATTGTCATTGAGTCTAACTGCATACTAATCACACATCAGTGAGCAGAAGAAATTGCATCTGAATCTGGAGCAGTATTAGATTAGAGAGAAGTCGATGTGTATGTTGATTCAATCATGAAATGACATCATGTAGCCGTACCCTCTGTGGATACTGACTGATACTAAAATATAATTAAAAAAAAAACAAAACAGAGAACAGTTGAGCCATTTTCAGAGGAACCCGTTTTGCATTTTTATTTTCTGTAACACAAATACCTGATTCTGTTCAGCGACTGTACAGGAGTACTTGTGCTTCTTAATGCTGCTTTCAGGTACCGTTTAAAAAATATATTAAACATCCCCTCTGCGTTTTTTATATCCACTTGCAAGTAGGGCTGGGTATTGTCACTGATTCCTACAACTGACTCAATTCTGATTCACAAGATCCTGATTGAATTGGATTAAATGCGATTCAATTTTGACTCAGTCAGAAATATTGTAATTATGATAATTTATCTTGGATTTGTACTGTCGAAAGAAGCCTGTAAAACTTGTAAATTAAATATATTCTTTTCCAAATTAATAACACATCCTAAAGCAGTTACAATATTGCACTTTTTATTTTATTCCTGGGGCTTAACAGTTTAAGCCCCAGGAGTTTTTCTAAGGTTCCTGCTGAAAAATAGCATGCTCAAAGTGAATCGACTATTTCTCTGCAATTACAAACTCAATATAACTATAAAAATAAAGGTGACACTTGTGAGACTTCATCAGAGGTCCAAGCATTTCAGGAAATGCCATTGTGTCAAAGAAACTGAGAATAAAACACAAAAAAATATGAAGGAGATTTTGCTGACCTGGTCTTTTACAGCATAAAACCATCTTGAAAAAATGCTGCAGTAGAAGTTTTATTAAAGACAAATCTAAGGGTTTTGCAATTTGGCATAATTCGTAAAAGTTAAAAATTCTTTGGTATTGAATTGGTCTTGAAGTACACTGAGAGAGAGAGAGCTGTGCAGGAAGTGCAATTTTATCGTGGTGGAAGCAAAACAGCAAAAATAAGAGGGAATTCATTACAATGTTTTTCAAAAGTCTGGTTTGTCTCCTTTTGCTGCTGGTTCAGTGAATTTTGGTCAGAGAGTGACGTGCAGCTTTGGAATCTGTCAGATGTCTGCTTTCAACACCCAACGCCATGTTTTAGCTGAGATTCTGATGTTTCTGGCAAAATACATTTAAAAATCCATGTCAGGATTTAATGAATCGATGTTGGATTATTCAAATTCAAATGAATTTGAAATGGAAAATCTATTTTTAAAGCGGAAGAGCTGTTGCCCTGCTAGGTGCATCAGTGTTCACACTGGTATCGCTATATTTTAACTGTGTAGTAAATCCATAGTCCTGATTCATTTACAGATACGAATTACAGACAGGTAACTCACCCGGGTGATGTTATGTGGATAAGCACCAGCTCTACCCAGCTAGCATAGCGACTAGACACAGGTAATCCCATCACATAGGTCACAGTTCCGGGGTAGTAATGGTTATTGAGTACCTTCAAAGCAAACAGGACACCTAGAAGCACAATCGTTGCAAAGATAAATACACAAGAAAAAGAAAATGTTGCCATTTCCGGAAAAAAAGATCAAATAGTTGGTCATGACATATAGAGGAAGATAATACAATATATGTTTACAAATATAGAGTGATCAAATCTTCTATATCAGTTACAACATAAAGGATTATAGAACTTTCCCCAATAATTTATACCTGAGAAGCCAACAGCACACGCCATGCTGTACGACTGGTCCTGCATGAGCTTTGTTAGCAACGCCTCCAACACTAGATAGACCAGTCCAGTAAGCAGAGAGAACACTGAGAGCAGGTAAAGGAACCAGGGCCCACCCAGCCGTTGCTCCAGCCTTCTACCTTTCCAGAGGAAGGACACCATGTTGAAGTAAAGATGCCAGTCGTCTGCATGGTGCAGTGGGGACAGCAGGAGTCTGCGCCAGTCTTTAAACCAGAAGGCCTGCTGCACACTAACACAGGCCTAGGAAATTAAGAGATAATACTTTTTTTTTTACATAATCTTTCTACTTGATAAACAATGTTCCCATTAATGTAATAATACCTTCCTTGTTGATTATATTCTAACATTTTAGTAACACAGTTTTAAAACAATTATTTCAGGGCTACTGCACTGTATAAAACTAAATAGCCAACCTTGTGGTGTATAAATATTGGTCGACATTAAAAATGGACGAACTCTGTCTCCATCATTAGAGGTGTATTTGGTGTATTTACCTGAAACAGTGGGGCAGCAGGGAATAGGTAAAGGTACACATTGAGAGCCAGGACAGCCAGAGTGATGGGAGGGATATTGTTCAGACCCAATTGAAACACCTGGGAGGCAAGGAGCAGCAAGCCCAGCTGGGATCCCCTCTGTCTGTTTCGCATACTGAAAATAACCTAGGGGAAAACAACTGCCTGATTATTTTTCAGACATTTTCGGTTACCATAAAAGTCACATTTATAAGTTATTAGAGAAAGGCTTAAGATTAAATCATGGTAATGCTCTCACAATCTCTGAGTATCAGCTTTGAAAGACTCAGATGCACGGAAACTGCCTCTACTTGACTACGAGTTGTATTAATAAGGAAGTGTTGGGCTGTTGTTAAAACAAAACACAAACATTAGAAATTAGAAAGAAATGTCAGAGAAAGCTCAAGTGGTTACAGTTCATATTAATTCAATTACTAGCAGAAGTCCAGACTGTAGATGTGATCTGAAGCCTTTATAAGAAAAAGAATACCACTGCTTGTCATGCTTTAATATGATGAGTTAAAATGCCTTTTGCTGATATCTAACACATAAGAAATTTAACTAATATTCATTATTAAAGACTGAGTCCTCCTTCCCCCATGAGCTTATAAAGGTTCAGGAAATGTCAGTCACATGGCGGTGTATATGTACAGTCAAACCATACACACTACAGCCTTAGATATCATGCAACCCCAACACCGCGATCCAGAGTACAAGTAGTAGTAAGTAGAATAAGTAGTAATATAAGTAGTACCCTCTGGTTAATGTTATTGTAGTTGAACAGACACAGTCAATAATAATTAGCAATTAGAAAAAAAAGTCTGCAAGTCAGTTTAAAACATTCAGTAGCTTAACAACAACACTGATGCTGATGTTCTTTGGAAAACACAATATTCCATTACTAAAGAATAAAATGCCCCACAACATCCAATGACATTCACTTCACGGGGAACTAAAAGTAAACTTACTGTCAGCGCTGTCACTCGTTGGAAACGCTTCCTCGTTCAGTTACTTTCGCTACCGCAAACTTTAACGTCAGCCCGGTGTTTAACCAGGTGAGCACAATTTAACGCTGATGAAAAACCTAAAGTTTCACTTATATAACTCTTAATCAAACGTCAGCAAAACGTATTACTAGATATTTCATCATTTCTAGCGTTTACCAGTAACAACTCGACAAGTTGGCGCTGTCAGAGGTCACGTGACAATAACAAAGCTACGTAGTTAGCGCAGCCGCATTGGGGTTTGCGAGGTAAAGGTCAGTTCTTCTTCTTCTTCTTCTTCTTCTTCTTCTTCTTATTATTATTATTATTATTATTATTATTATTATTAACAAAGCCAATAAAAACAATACCTACAAGAACCTATGATAATAACAACAACAATCACTCTGGCCAAGACAGGGGAAAAAGGGAGAAAGGCGCAATGAGAACAGTAAGCATTATTAGGGTAGGGTAAATCTACAAGCTGGGTATTTAGAAAAACAGTATTTAGATGGATCGTAATAGATATAGTAGACTGAATAAACTTTATAGTTTTGAAATTAATCTAAAAACAAATTTTGCCACTTGATAGTGATCTTAGTATATGCATGGAATTAAGAGAACTTTAGAGCTGAAGAAGCTTATCGGATGAGAGGTGAAACGTCTTCAAGAAACTTAAAGAAGTCCAGACGCATTTTCCCAAGTTCCTTAGACTACGTTCAACATCCAGCGGGCGGTACGTAAAAACCGTTCTAGAATGTAGTCAGAGCGATTCTAAGGCTTTGTGAACTAGGGGGGGTTAAGAAAGATATAGATTCACTAAAATGTCGCTTTTAGTTATTATAATGTTAAATTATTATATTTTAATTTATATACGTTATTTTACTTTATTCAGAATTAACCTGGCGGTTAACTTTCTTTTCTAGATTTTGGGGGGTTAGAATTAAGCATACTAGTGATCCACCTCCACCCTAATGTTCAAGAAATGGTTCAATCCTCTTTAGGCGGGAAAGCGTCATCCGCTTCATTATTTCCTCTTACGTCGACGCTTAACGGTCGGTTTGTAGGACTGAGATTTTTCTGCCATTTTTTAGCATAAACACCAAAGAGCAAAATGGTAAGAAACCTTGTAAAAGCAAACTTTTAGTAGTCAGTTACGGGCGATATGTTTCTTCCGCATTTTTTGACCTCCTCCCAGTTCTAAGGAGCGAGGAGGGAAGTGCGGCCTTTAACTGCAAAGTAGAAATGGGAAAATGATGTCTCTACACTGACATTTACTTTACTCTGTGATAGTTATGCAAGAGGTGTGGTTTAAATATATAAACGATTAGGGGGGGTTATTGTGTTTTAGGCTTAGTAAATGTCTTGTAAATGGTGACCAGATCCGATATGGGAAAAAAATAGTGGTTGAAGTGTGAACGGAGAAAATTGTTTTGTTTTGTTCAAGATCACTTGAATATTCGGTTTTGTTAAAGCGTTTTTTCAGTAATAGATTCCAAGTGAAAAGGGCGCACATTTTGAAATTTCAACAGCACGTACGTCATCGGTAGTTAAGGAAGGAAAGATCTGTCGCATAGCAACACCATGTATGGAGAAAACAGTCAAGTGAAAACTAGTATGCTTGTGATTGGGATACTTTTTAAAGACTGTTTGGCCCAAAAGCAAGGAGTAATTGGCATTGTTCCCATGTATGCAGTTAAACTTTTTCAATTTCCTTTACTCTTTACTCTGATCTAAAAGAAAAAGGTGTACTACTGTATCTAATTGACTCCCCCCCTCCCCCTCCCACAGCGTGAATGCATCTCCGTCCACGTTGGACAGGCTGGTGTCCAGATTGGGAATGCCTGCTGGGAGCTTTACTGCTTGGAACATGGCATTCAGCCAGACGGTCAAATGCCCAGTGACAAGACCATCGGCGGGGGAGATGATTCCTTCAACACATTTTTCAGTGAGACTGGAGCTGGAAAGCATGTCCCTAGAGCTGTTTTTGTGGACCTTGAACCCACTGTGATCGGTAAGCGTTGTTACCATTGGCTAAATGTAGCAGTGCAATATGTGAGTCAGTTTAAATAACAAAATGTCTGTCTGTTTCCTTAGATGAGGTGCGGACTGGGACGTATCGCCAGCTGTTCCACCCTGAGCAGTTGATCACTGGCAAGGAGGATGCAGCTAACAATTATGCCCGTGGACACTATACCATTGGAAAAGAGATCATTGATCTTGTTCTGGACAGGGTTCGCAAACTGGTGGGTAAATTCAGAGCCATTATCGGCAAAGTAAACTAGATAACTGTATCGCATGAACTTTGTCTTTCCCTCTCCATCCTCAGGCTGACCAGTGCACTGGTCTTCAGGGCTTCCTGGTGTTCCACAGCTTCGGCGGTGGGACCGGCTCTGGTTTCACCTCCCTGCTGATGGAGCGCCTTTCTGTCGACTACGGCAAGAAGTCAAAGCTGGAGTTTTCCATCTACCCAGCTCCCCAAGTGTCCACCGCTGTGGTTGAGCCCTACAACTCCATCCTGACCACCCACACCACCCTAGAGCACTCTGACTGTGCCTTCATGGTAGATAACGAGGCAATCTATGACATCTGCCGTAGGAACCTCGATATCGATCGTCCTTCCTACACCAACCTGAACAGGTTGATCAGCCAGATTGTGTCCTCCATCACTGCTTCGCTCCGCTTTGATGGCGCCCTCAATGTTGATCTGACAGAGTTCCAGACCAACTTGGTTCCCTACCCTCGTATCCATTTCCCCCTGGCCACCTACGCCCCCGTCATCTCTGCAGAGAAAGCTTATCACGAGCAGTTAACTGTTTCGGAAATAACTAACGCTTGCTTCGAGCCAGCCAATCAGATGGTGAAATGTGACCCTCGCCACGGCAAGTATATGGCCTGCTGCCTTTTGTACCGTGGCGATGTGGTGCCCAAAGATGTCAACGCTGCCATTGCTGCCATCAAAACCAAGCGCACCATCCAGTTCGTGGACTGGTGCCCCACCGGTTTCAAGGTCGGCATCAACTACCAGCCACCCACTGTGGTTCCTGGTGGGGACCTGGCCAAGGTCCAGAGGGCTGTGTGTATGCTGAGCAACACCACCGCCATCGCTGAGGCCTGGGCACGACTTGACCACAAGTTTGACTTGATGTACGCCAAGCGTGCATTTGTTCACTGGTATGTGGGTGAGGGAATGGAGGAGGGTGAGTTTTCTGAGGCTAGAGAGGACATGGCAGCTCTAGAGAAGGATTATGAAGAGGTTGGAGTTGACTCTGTTGATGGGGAGGGAGATGAGGAAGGTGAGGAGTAGGTTCATTGCAATAAAATCATCAAAATTATGCAAGTTTGCTCAGAAACACTGTTACGTTGTTCTACCAGATCTTTGTACAATATTCCTGTGTTTCAACTTTAAATAAATGTGTTTGAAAATGTGGTGTTTTAATGCTATGTGAGAGTGTAACATGGAGACATGACCACTTTGTTTTGTAGTTCTGTTCTTTCAATATCAGCACTTTCTTTTATCAAGGTGCTGCTTAGTAAAGAGTACATGAGCTGTTTAAAGACAAGGTGTCAGTGCCTTAATTTTTTTTTTAAACACTAATACTCAAAAACTCTTAAGAACAGTTTTAAAGCTTTACACCTTAAATATTTAAATACACAAAACCGCAGTTGCTTGGGGCTGTAAAATTTAATCTGGTTTTATCTAATTATGTGTTTGGGGCCTAGTGTGGAAAGTCTATAATATTTCAGATAAAACTAATTTGGGAATCAAAGGTGTGCATCTGGCATTATATGCTGATGTATTGTAATGTTTTTTAGTTCTATCCCGAACAGCCACCACAGAAAAATGGAAAATAAAATACATCTTAAACATACATGCACAGTCAGCATATAAAACAATCATATTATTTCATCTAAAAAATATTTACTTTAGATAACTGAAGTGTGTTTTGTCGATACTGCTGCTTTTATCTTGTTTAAAAATGAGTTGGCAGAACGTTTAAATACCAGTAAAAATTCTTACCTCCTTCCATGTTTGTATATTGTTATCAAACACCCATGCTGATTCCCCCCAGTGGTCACACTTAGAAACTACAAAACATAATTAATCACATGCTTACAGTATTAAATATTAAATATATTTAAGGCTGTGTGCTTTATACAGTCACCAGTACACTAATTTATTATTAAATTAAAGGACAATGATTTGGGAAATAGTTACCGCCACCCAACGGAGATATTAATATTATTTTAAGTTTTCATTATACTATCTTTTAGTAATGATGGACGGATTCTTTGATTCAATTTACTTTTTAAAAGTAATATTTCTGGTCAATATTGCCCCCAAAAGATTTACCTAGTAAATAGGTCAAGTGATCAATTAAATTACATTTATTTTAAAAAGATGAGTAAACAAATAAATACTTTAAGTGGTTGTAAGTAGAAATTACTTAATAATCGTAAATACAACCAGGCACTGCTTGCCGAACATGTTCAGAGGCTTCAGCGGAAGAAGTTTAACCTCCCGCTCTGTGTCTCCGGTTTCTGGCATCAATTGTAAACACGTGCGCCAGGTGTAGCACACCGTTTCTCCGTCAATTATTCAGGAATCCTACCTAGGATCAGCTTTCTCGTCTCACAAACACAAACCTGTTTCATTTAACTCGCAGTTTTCTACACTCTACAAACTGTATAGCTTTCCTGCCGCCAACGATCATTACCCAGACTGCCGGAGCATCTGTTGCTCATAGGAACAGCGGCATATAGATGGGAAGTTTTTGTTTTGTTTTGTTTTCATAATTTTGAACTTCGTATTGTTGGCTTAAAAAAACCTTTCTGTAAACAACGTGATCATTGAACGACAACACTATAATATAGACATAATAATATAAAGAGAAATGTGAGTAAATGTGAAGCAGCGAGTATACTGTGTTTTTATGAAGAAAATAAATACATATAAAAAGAGAAAGAAAACAAAAACACATCAATTTATACAAAGGGATTGCTTGGTGGGATACACCTTTGTATTTTTGCATAGATCAATATAGTCTTGATCGATTTCTTCTCGCAGTGTAACCTGTTTGGCTGTGTCATCTTTTCACGTATGTAATTGAAGGCAGAGCTATGAAGACACAGAAAGAAACACATTTTTAAATTCAGTTTTATTGTACTAATACTGTATTAAAATTTAAATTACTTGGCTGTACTCAAATTGTTAAAAGTTATACATGAGTTACATT